GACTCTACTTTTAGTACTCTGCTTCATTCAGGCTTTCAGTGTTAAATGATTGCCCTCTTCTAGATCTACATTATTCTACTGTCCTGGTTCGTAGACTCATCACCTTCCAGGCGGCTTTTTCTAATTGCATGGCACAGAATGCTGTCAACACTCAGTGCTGTTTAGAAGTGGGAAAGGAAATATTGTCTTTAATTATGTTAGGCAAACAAAATGCCACACCACAAACACAAATAATTGTAGAATAATATTATTTTGCTGCATGCTGTGCTGAGAAAGCCAGCTTTTCAGACATCCCGGCATGGCGTCCCCGGTGCTAACCACTGAAATGTAGACATTTGGAGGAGGCAGCCCAGCAGCTGTCTCCATAAGTGGAAGATTAAGACAAAGGCGGAGCAAATTCAGCACCACTGTGACTCCTTTTATAAATACATCTGAAAACCACTGTCAATCCCATGGAAAAACAGCAACAGATGTTAAGGGCTAGGAAGAAGTGTTCCCATGCCCCAAATAAAAGGACACAGATGTACTAACAGTTCTGTTCACTGCCAAATCCGCCAAATCCAGCGACAGGCCACACACATCGCTCCAGGCAGAAACTTCCCAGCTAAGCTGCCTCTTGTAGATGAGAGGCTCTTCTACTCAGAGGCTCAAGAAAAGTGCCATGTAATGATGATGGTTCTTCACCTCCCAGGATACCTGGGCTATTTCCAAGGCCTGAAATTTCAACACCAAGGAGGCGTGACTAAGGATAAAACTAAGGCCAAGGGCATTAACAGTAATGCTGAAGCCAAGTAAAAAAACAGTTAACAATGGCATTGTGTATTGACATTTGTGTTTGCGCTCATGAGAACTAGAATAGCTGAGTTTCTCAGACTTCAGTTACAGATCTCTCTCTCTCTCTCTCTCTCTCACACACACACACACACACACACACACAACTTCAAGGATTACAACCAACCGTCATAGTGTCAGGATGGGACCTGTTCTAACGTAAGGCCTACAAGCACCCACAGGTGATCACCATCTGCTGTCCTTACCACTAAGACCGGTGCTTTTCAAATTTGGGAACTTTAAGATGAATTGGCTTCAACTCCATTCATGAAACACACTGCACCATATAGATCTATATCGATGTTTTGTGAGAGACTAACATTGAGACAATAGCAACAAAAGATCTAATACATCTAGTTGTATTACAATGCAGATTTGCTGATGGCCAGGACTACTTTTAATAAACAGTTGCCTTGAACATTCCCAGTAAAATTTATTATACAATTTCTACTATCAGGAAAGCTCTTCAAATATTACCTAACTATAACCAGGGAACTGTCTCCATTTATTTTGAAACTACTTTCCTGTTTCTCATTTTTTCTTAGCTCAGCTCTGGGTATTGGAGAATCACGGATCTAAACCTAAGGATTGTGGGTCTAACTTTATGATTAAAACCTCCCTCCCCCACACACTTACCTCCTTATACCAAAGTTTAGCCTAAGTTATTGAGATACTCATTGGTAATAACCCAAGATAAAATACAATACTTCTGCTCATACCTTGCTCAAGGATAAACATATTCTAGGATGTGCCTTTGGGTAACATTACAGAACTATAATGTGGGATTAATTTTAGTAACTGGCCAGTTGTGCCTGTCGAGAATATGAAGAAACGCTGGCTGTCTTCATGTCAACAACCCTATGGAAGCCATTTGACTTAACATGGGATGTCATGTAGCAGAACTTCTAAACCAGGGGTGTCAAACTGGCGGTCCAAGGTCTGTATGCATCATGCACAGGCCACACCTACTCCAGCTCCGCAAATGGGAAAAAAATCACGATACATCACATGACAGCAATGTGATGCCACGAGTTTTAACACCCGTGCTCTAAAATGTAACCTTGAAAAATCAACACATGTTACATACCCACAGTCACAGATCTCACAGATACATTTGCCAGAGGTTTGAGATTGTTGCGGAGTCATTTTGGAAAGATGGGATGGTTGCAGGTCCTGGTGAACCGGTTTGTTAGCTCTTGCTGATTCCACTACTGCAAGGAACGGTAGAAGACTGTTGTGAGCACATCCCAGCTAATCGAGCAGCGCAGATTCTCTTCTACCTTAAAACCAGCCACTGCTGAAAACTAATGGAGACCTCACCTGGCCTGTAAAAGGTGCAGGGGACACATAACAACTTGTTTAGTAGTCATCTGGAGATCCTTTGTGAAGTCACCAGGTAGATTTGGCTTTGCAAGCAACAATACTGTCAAAACAGACTATCTGCTCCCAGAATTGAAGAGTAATTCACATCCAAATATAGAGGCGCTCCATTTAGGTTTGGGAATTGATACGTTTATCCCAACTGGGCAAATAATTAAAAGTGGAAGGGGTCGCATTAGAGACACTACCGAAAGACTAGAGTAGAGCTTGCAAATTTATAAAATTATACAGCAAATTCAGAGATCAATCACATAGCAACCGTAAGAACACAGTATAACTTTTTGCCAATTGATTTTGTTTTCTGTGATAGCTAAAAAGATATATAGTAACTTCAGGATTCCAACATGTCCAAAGATAATATATAGCGTATTAGGACCTGCATTTTTCCTGGTTACTAGTCAGAATAAATCTTACATTTGGGCTCATGCTAGATAATTTGCTTAAACCGAACAATATTTCTGGGACACGTCAGAAAACTCTTGCTATAGTTCTTGCCCTGTATATTTATTAGCCTGTTTTTATTTTCAGTCAACTCAAGGGAATGTACACTGCTCAAAAAAATAAAGGGAACACAAAAATAAGACATCCTAGATCTGAATGAATGAAATATTCTTATTAAATACTTTGTTCATTACATAGTTGAATGTGCTGACAACAAAATCACGCAAAAATTATCAATGGAAATCAAATTTAGCAACCCATGGAGGTCTGGATTTGGAGTTACATTCAAAATTAAAGTGGAAAAAAACACGACAGACTGATCCAACTTTGATGTAATGTCCTTAAAACAAGTCAAAATGAGGCTCAGTAGTGTGTGTGGCCTCCACGTACCTGTATGACCTCCCTACAATGCCTGGGCATGCTCCTGATGAGGTGCCGGATGGTCTCCTGAGGGATCTTCTCCCACACCTGGACTAAAGCATCCCCCAACTCCTGGACAGTCTGTGGTGCAATGTGTTGGTGGATGTGCCAGATGTGCTCAATTGGATTCAGGTCTGGGGAACGGGCAGGCCAGTCCATAGCATCAATGCCTTCGTCTGGCAGGAACTGCTGACACACTCCAGCCACATGAGGTCTAGCATTGTCTTGCATTAGGAGGAACCCAGGGCCAACCGCACCAGCATATGGTCTCACAAGGGGTCTGAGGATCTCATCTCGGTACCTAATGGCAGTCAGGCTACCTCTGGTGAGCACATGGAGGGCTCTGCGGCCCCCTAAAGAAATGCCACCCCACACCGTTACTGACCCACTGCCAAACCAGTCATGCTGGAGGATGTTGCAGGCAGCAGAACATTCTCCACGGCGTCTCCAGACCCTTCACGTCTGTCACATGTGCTCAGTGTGAACCTGCTTTCATCTGTGAAGAGCACAGAGTGCCAGTGGCGAATTTGCCAATCTTGGTGTTCTCTGGCAAATGCCAAACGTCTTGCACGGTGTTGGGCTGTAAGCTCAACCTCCACCTGTGGAGGCCGGGCCCGCATACCACCCTCATGGAGTCTGTTTCTGATAGTTTGAGCAACCACATGCACATTTGTGGTCCACTGGAGGTCATTTTGCAGGGCTCTGGCATTGCTCCTCCTGTCTCTCCTTGCACAAAGGCGGAGGTAGCGGTCCCGACGCTGGGTTGTTGCCCTCCTATGGCTTGGTCCACATCTCCTGATGTACTGGCCTATCTTCTGGTAGCGCCTCCAAGCTCTGGACACTACACTGACAGACACAGCAAACCTTCTTGCCACAGCTCGCATTGATGTGCCATCCTGGATGAGCTGCACTACCTGAGCCACTTGTGTGGGTTGTAGACTCCGTCTCATGCTACCACTAGAGTGAAAGCACCACCAGCATTCAAGAGACCAAACCATCATCCAGAAAGCATAGGAACTGAGAAGTGGCCTGTGGTCACCACCTGCAGAGCCACTCCTTTATTGGGGATGTCTTGCTAACTGCCTATGCTTTCCACCTGTTGTCTATTCCATTTGCACAACAGCAGGTGAAATTGATTGTCAATCAGTGTTGCTACCTAAGTGGACAGTTTGATTTCACAGAAGTGTGATTGACTTGGAGTTACATTGTATTAAGTGTTCCCTTTATTTTTTTGAGCAGTGTACATACTTAATGTTCCTGCCTCCTAATTTTCCCACAGCAATCCTCTAAATGTTGCCACATTCCAAAAAATTGTATTAACAAAAGGAATGAAGAATTAAACATGGGTTTTTTTATAAGGAACTTTTGTCTTTTTAAATCTTTCTTGGCAAAAAGCTTTTGCCAGGGCCATTAACCCTGGTAACCCAAGACATATTTCCTGCTTTTTGGACAGAGTTCCCACATTTCCATCCAAAATTATGATTTAGGGGAGTTGCAAATATTTATATTTGCATGTCACAAAATGAGTGTTTTTAAATATATTAGCTACATCTCGAGATTTATTTTTCTCTGAATTCACATCAACAGGGCTCATTGTAATTAGAACCAAAGTACTTGATGTGATAAAGCTTTTAGGCCCTCATTTTCAATAAGAAATCTGCAAGAGAACCTCCATGTTTCTTGTACTGCACAGTAAGTGAACAGACTAAACAGTATAGTATTATAAGCAAACTGATAGAAATTCCTAACAATAGTCTCCCGATAATAGGAGATTGATGCTGGCTCACTCAGTATCATTAGAAAGATGGTTTCTCATAAGGAGCGAAATAAGTAAACAGGTATAACAAGTCAGGCGTCTTCTATATATTTGGCTTCCAAAAAGAATTGAAACAGGGAAAATAAATGTACAATCAGAAGATTTTCTTGAGGAAAGTTTATTATAGTATTGTTTTAAAAAATACATATTTTAAATAAATACTTAAGACAAACATTAATTTTTGTTAAGACTATCAGAAGTTACGTTAAGATGCTTGAATTCCAAAATTATATATCTTCTCACTCCTAACCTTAAGTCTTTAAAAAATCCACTTTTTCTAATTTTTGCTTTTGTTATCCTTCATCTAATATCTAATACTTGGGATAAAAGTGAAAAACTAAAACCCAGCATCTTCCTATATATCTTTTCCCTATGTTACTCAATTATAGAGCTAAGTCATATTCACTTAGGTGACTGGTAAGTAATGTTACATCTTCATTTTCTATAACTATTTGTTTTAGAAAATCTTGCAAGATTTATCGGGGTCAGTACTGAGAGATTACGTGCAAGGCATCAGCAGATTTCTATTAGACTTTTTTTTTCCTCCCATGCTTCTCTTTCTCCTTCCATGTGCATCCAACTATGTTCTACAGCAGGGTTTCTCAACCTTAGCAACTTTAAGATGGGTGGACTTCAACTCGCAGAATTCCCCAACAAAGCTGCTAAGGTTGAGAAACAGGATTCCCAAATCTGTAGAATAGACGTGGGGATTACACAGGGAATAATTCCTCATTTCACTCGTCTAGTCTCTCTCTATTCCATTGCAAAATGGACATTGTTGGATACAATCTATGAAGGGACTAATTTGCACCAGTCATTCAAATTATTCTTAAAATGCTTCTTAATTCCCAGATATGGAGAAAAAGTGAAATATTCAAAGACATTTGATTTACTCAATTGTTTACCAAGGCACGTCATCTGTACGCTTCCTGAGGAGTCAGACAAGGTTTTTTTTATCTTCCAAAATCTGAACAAAATATGCTATCCTATACTTAGATGAGACATTTTATTACTGTTTCTTTACCATGTAAAGGTCTCTGTGACTATTTCTTAAAAAGAGCTCAATTCATCTGTACTGTTTTGATCACTGATAATACAAAATTATCCAACTTGATAGAACTGTGCAAGAAGCCTATAGTCAGGATTAGCTAACACTAACATTAAAAGTTGAGGTTTGCAAAAACACTTTCATCTCATGAAGTATTCTGTTCAAGTCAGTGCATCATGATTATAAAACCATGGAATGGCTTCATCTTCGCAGTTGAGGGTTCTTTTGTATCCATCTTCAAATTATTTTTCTGAAAGAGAAACATACCATTTTTAAAACCTATTTTAACATAGTTTGTTTTTAAGCTAGATACGTACGTTGTGTACAGGGTAAAAAAATCTTAATTTAAAAGAAACCTCCATGGAAATCTCCAACCATCAAGTACAGAGAGATTATTTTCACAGATACTGTGGTGGTTAGAATTGCACAGTTGCAAAGTTGTCCTATGAAGGGAAATATAGCCATTATCTAAAAATGTATTTTAAATTCAGGGACAGGTTTCTCCATTTCCCTTAAGAAGCATCTCACGCCAAAGCACTAATTAAATATGATAAAATCCACTAGTCTAGTGAAAAGGACGACTAGGGGGGACATGATAGCGGTGTTCCAATATTTCAGGGGCTGCCACAAAGAAGAGGAGTTCAACCTATTCCCCAAAGCAGTAGAAGGCAGGACAAGAAGCAATGGGTGGAAACTAATCAAGGAGAGAAGCAATCCAGAACTTAGGAGAAATTTCCTGACAGTAAGAACTATCAGACTTGCCTTCAGAAATTGTGACTGTTCCAACACTGTAGGTTTTTACATAGAGATTGGACAGCCATTTGTCTGGAATGGTATAGAGTCTCCTGCTTGAGCAGGGGGTTGGACTAGAAGACCTCCAAGGTCCCTTCCAATTCTGCTATTCTGTTAAAAACCTTATCCCATGAATAAGCTTTAAATGCCAATCTCGAAAAACAACAACATAGCAACCCCTTTACTATAAACTAGTTAGCATGAAGCAATATCCTATTCGTAACTTAAACACTGTGATATAATATGCATGCAATAGTATAAACCAGAAGCTCCTTGGACATAATCCGTTACCCGTGCAGTTCCTCCACTCCGCTTTGAACGTAGGCCATTTTGCACAACTATTCGTTTCCATATGCATTGAATACGGTGCCCTTACTTGTATTCTGCACTAACAGATCACCCGCATTCCACCAGCATCTCTTTCCACTTAGGAAGGCGCTCCAAGTCACACATTAAAAAGTGTGGCTATTTCCCCTACACCCAGAATTTGGGTGCATTTCCACCTACGGTGTCAAACTCAAGGCCCACGGGCCAGATCTGGCCCGTAGGGTGCTTAGATCTGAGCCACAGTTCCACCTTGGAAACTGCAAAGAACTGGCCCACGGGGCTGGCCTGCACACACGGCCCCCTGAACCCCCTTTTCGCTGGCAGAGGGCTAGCAAAACAAAACAAAAGGAGAAAGGGTTTTTTTTTGCATTTGAGCATGCAGGAAGGAATAGGAAAAGAGAAAGGGAAAGAGGAAAGGGAAAGAAAAAGAAGGGAAGATGGGAAGAGAGCAAGAAAGGAGAAATAAGGAGGGAGGGGAAGGAAGAAGAAGAGGGAGGGAAAAAAAGAAAAGGGGGAGGGAGGGAAGGAAGAGGAAGGAAGGAAAGAAAAGGAAGGAAGGAAGGAAGGAAGGAAGGAAGGAAGGAAGGAAGGAAGGAAGGAAGGAAGGAAGGAAGGGAGATCGTAATGTGAGGGCCGGTCTGAGGGAAGTCCTGCCTTAGCACTTGGCCACCATAGGTGCCCACAACGTGAGTTGAGCTGGGTTCGCCCACCCAGGCCACACCCACCCCAGCCCCCTGAGGTCAAACACAACCCTGATGCGGCCCTCAGTGAAATTGAGTTTGACACCCCTGACTTAGTTTGAGAGATGCACTAACCTTTCCGTTTGTTAAATACGTCTCCTCCGACCTGCATGTCTCTCTTCTCTCTCAGCCACAGTGGACAAATTGCCATTGAAGGGGAGAGGCTATTTCTTCTTTCAAGATGACTCGGCTGGGATGATTTCTTGGCAAGTTCTGCATCAGACGCATAAGGTTTCCCCAAAGGGCTAAGCACATCCTTGGTTTCCAGGCTCGTTGGACTGAGGTTAAATGCCGATCTGCACCTTGGCATTCGCTTTCCGGGATCCGGTGGGTGATCCAGGAGAGTCTTTTTCAGTGCTTCGTACCGACTGAAAATGGACTGGAAATCTAACTTGCACTCATTCCCTGACAGATAATCTGTTGCAGATTTCCTGTCTCTGGAGTTGTCTTCCCCTGAGTCATCCAAGTCCAAACCGTGGAGGCTATGAAGACTGATAGATTCTTCTTCTTCTGGGAAAGTTTCTTGAAGTATACCTAGCTGCATAACGTCATGGTTATCCAAACCAGTCCCGCTAATTGCTTGAGAAGCCTCCTGCAACAAAGTTGCACACATTGTAGAATTCTGACCCACACTGTGTGACAAAGTCTCTGATCCGGTATGGTTGCCGGAGCCACAGCTCACCTCATGCATACTTCTATTTAAAGCCTGGAAGACTGATTCTGGGTTTTCCACTTGGTCTGGAGCAGCAAGGGACAATTCTTTCTTGCAAATAATTTTGTCCAGCGGCCTAAAAGCCTCTTGGTGATTCAGCAATTCATCAGTAATCCCTTGTTGTGAACTACCTGGGGGCTCCATATCTAAAAAGGGAAATTCTGCTGTGTCGGATATACAAGGTGACATAAACATTGTCAAACTTGAACTTAAATGGCGTCTAAAATCAGGAACTGTCTCCTGCGATAACTGTTCCGTGGCTTCGGAATCATGCGGTGCTTCACCTGAAGGTGATTCAGTCTGAATAGCCTTTTGCCATGAGCTTCTAATTTCAGTAACTGAAAAAAAAGAATGATAAAAAGATTAAATACAATACTGTAATTTTCTTTCTAAAATATATATTTCATTCTACACGCCACCTTTGAAACTATACTAATAGAAAACATTCCCTTGGGGTAGATATATATTTTGGAGCACTAGAACGTGGATAAAATATAAAATATCTTGTCCATATTTCAGATAGAGAGGACTCTTGGTTTAATCCGGGGTAAAGGAGTAATCCATCTATGTTAGAAATGAACAACCCTCCCTCAACAGAAGGAGAGGAAGAAGACACCACCTATCTCCTGTCTACAACGCAATCCTTTCAGCAGTTCCAAGAAGATTCCACAACCAATTGCTCCGATTCTGATGAGGGAGAAGGTTTGTTCTCCAAGCTTGTGGATTGGTTTCTGAACATTTTGTTACCAGGCTTGATAGTGTCAGAGTCAGGGGATGTCAGTGTTTATAAGGGCTTCAGGTGTGGATGTGTTAAGTGAGAGTCTTGTGATGGGTCAGTTAAGAGTCATCTTATAAATAGAAGAACAAAGACATCTCCTAAATTCCGCTGAAGATGTTACCTAGTCTGGTCATGAAACATTCAGAAGCCAACTCACAAGTCTGGAGAACAAACCTTTGTCCTCGTACTACACCTGAGCTACAGATATTCGCCCCTATTGTTCTGATTCTGGTGACCCTGAGGGCATAGATAAACCCCCAAGGCCACAATGGCTCTCAGAGAGAGTGCTAATGACCAGATGACTACAATCCTTCCATCTGCCATCATTCAGTCACAACCAATGAAGCTTCTTGGATGAGAAGCAAAACATTTTCTTTTTTTTCCTTTTTCCCCAAGAAAAAGAACAGTCCAGTTGCCTTTTTGAGAAAAAAGCACCTTTGAGGCAACAATGAACTGGATGACTAAGACTCTCCATTAGACGTTTAGAGAAAAAGCTTTCTTTGTTAAATGTCAATCTCTTATTTTAAATATATTCTACAGTAATTGTACTGCTGTTTGTCACATATAACAGCAAGGAGATCCATTGAAGCTCTCAGCTATGACTACTGCAAAATCCCCATCTGTCTCATAGACCCACCCCACCCCAATTTAAACCCTACCTCACCCTAGCCCAGAGGTCAGCAACCTGCGGCTCTGGAGCCGCATGTGGCTCTTTCATTCCTCTGCTGCAGCTCCATGTTGCTGCTCAGCCGCACAATTGATAGGGCTTTTGGTTATGACAGGTAGAGGAAAACAGACAACGCACTAGGAGACTCTACTTGCTATCCACAATATTGAAAGATAAATTCTGTAAACAATTACAGGTAGTCCTCAACTTACAACTACAACGGAGCCCAAAATTTATGTGGCTACATGAGAAATTTGTTGAGTGAATTTTGACCTATTTTATGACTTTTCTTGCCCCGTTGGTTAAGTGAATCACTGAAGTGGTTAAATTAGTACCATGGGTTGTTAAGTAAATCTGGTTTCCCCATTGACTTTGCTTATCAGAAGGTTGCAAAAGGGGATTCCATGATCCTGGGACAATGCAAAAGTCATTAATGTGAGTCAGCTGTCAAGCATTCGAATGTAAATCATGTGACCGTGGGGATGCTGCAATGGTCATAAGTGTGAAAAATGGCCATAAGTCACTTTTTCCAGTGCCTTTGTAACTTTGAACGATCACCAAGTGAACTGTTGTAAGCTCAGAAAGTGTAAAACTATATCCATTCCAGGATGACTGAATGTACTGCAGTGCAATGTGAAGGGATACTCACTCAGATTTTCTGGAGTCCGTGGAATCTGTTTCCTTGTTAAGAAAGGATTTGAGAATAAGGCATTGATCAGATCCCCTACATCCTTCCCAGTGTTCTGGGGTGAATCAGATATTACTACATCTGCCACCTGCAAGAAAACATAACATACTTAAAAGAGACGAGCTGCAGCTACACTGCTGAAACATGCTACCTGTAGATGACCAGGCTGAGCCCAAGGCATCATAAGTCATGAGTTCCTTTTCACCTGCAAGAGATTTAAGTCCAGCCCACCTTGAATGCCCCTATCTCATCTCCTGCCCATTTCCCTTAATGGATTCTTGTAGAGAGCTTAAGTTTGCAAGAAATCTTTATATTCATTTTGAACTGACTGAATACTCCCTGGTATTTCCCCGGCGTTTGACGCCCTGGGAAATTAACCTGCCTTTCCCCCCCTTTATTGGCATGTACTATGCCTATCCCGAGTTTCCCTTAATTTCAGAACCTGTTTTATCATTTATAAAGTGACTAGATAATGTATAATTTAAAAAATGATATGAATACAGATTGAAAAGTAAACATTATAGTTAATGTAAATCAAATCAGTAAAGCTTAAAGGAACTACAGGCAATAAGCATTATGACACTATCAGATTCTGCATGAAAAAAAGATTTTCACTTAAACCCTCAAACATGCTCTGGGCTATTTTCAACCCAATGAAAGAGGATGAGAGATGCCGGGGAAAGTATGTTTCTCCAGCAGATTGTTCTGCAAGTAGTTAACTAGCACTGAATACCCACATATTCTTCTAAAATTTTAATAACAAAGATGGTATCCTTATTCCATTCACTTGTCTAATAAAAACACTGGATTTTTAATTTTTACTTATGGTCATTCAAGCTATCTCTGCTTTTTATGTAAGTGAGTATCTCCAAAGAACTTCAGATTATGTAATTACTAATGTATTATCTCTCTTAACATATTCTTTACCTCTTCAGCCAGCTGTTCTTGGGCCTTCTTTAAAGAATCTCCTTTTTTAGCTGATGAAGAAGGTATTCTAACTGAATCAGTTTGTCTTTCCTTCCTACTTTCTATTCGTCTAGAATTTCTTCCTTTATTCTCTAAGATTTGAAACTGTGAATTATCAGTCCTCTTGGGAGTTTCAACATTTGATGTCTGAGGGAGAGAGAAAAAGATTGAGCTTGCATGGGTATACATGCAATATATATTGCAATATATATACTGGCATACAAAATTATCTGCTACAATGTCGTACCAGTCAATGACTACTTCAGCTTCGACCACAATAATACAAGAGCACACAACAGATACAAGCGCAATGTAAACTGCTTCAAACTTGATACATACATACATACATACATACATACATACATGCATACATTTGCAAGAAGTGCATTTTAATTTTTATCACATATCTAGTATTTATGAGTCTAAAGAAAAGATGGGTTAACCATTAATATAAGACTCCATAAGACCAATGAAAATGGTGTGTTACCTTTTCAGAATGTGTAGCAAGTTTCAAGGTCCTGAAAATATAAGAAAGCCTTATTATTAGATGTACACTATTAAAAGATTCCATGGATGAAAATCCTAAAGGGGAAAACAACTAAAAAATCTTGGGAAATTCTGAAAAGTATGATCATAGAAGCCCAGACCAGCACAATACCACTGAGAAAGAAAAACAAGAAATCGAAGATGAAACCAGCATGGCTTCACAAAGATCTCTTTGGCAGATTGAAAGAAAAAAAGGACAAATACAAAAAATGGAAAGAAGGACATACAACTAAGGTAGAATATCAGCAGATAGCCAGAATCTGCAAAGACGAAGTCAGGATAGCAAAGACTCAGAACGAACAAAAACTTGCAACAAAAGTCAAAGATAATAAAAAAAAGTTTCTTCCAACATATAAATAACAAGAAAAAAAATGAAGGAAACAGTCAGTTCACTAAAGAAAGAAGACAGCAAGGAAGTAACAGGCAACAGAGAGAAAGCAGAACTGCTTAACACATTCTTTGCATCTGTCTTCACGCAAAAAGAAACTATAGATCAACCCACCAAAAACATAACTGTAAAAGACAGACCAGAAATAAAAGTTAAAATAAGCAAAAAAATAGTAAGAAAAGACCTGTCTGATCTTGATGAAAACAAATCACCGGGGTCTGATGAATTACATCCCAGAGTTTTAAAGGAGCTGGCAATGGTCATCTCAGAACCACTGCACCATATCTTTCCAAAATCCTGGAGTACCGGAGGACTACCAGCGGACTGGAAAAGAGCTGTTGTGGTTCCCATCTTCAAAAAAGGAAAAAAAAACCAGAAACTATAGACCAATCAACCTAACATCAATACCCGGGAAGATACTGGAAAAGATAATAAAAAAACAGATCTGCCAACTTCTAGAAACAAGTAATAACTAGCAGTCAGCATGGGTTTGTTAAGAACCAATCATGCCAAACCAATCTTATTTCATTCTTCAATATAGTGACTAAATTAGTAGACCAGCAAAATACTGTGGACATAATATATTTAGATTTCAGCAAGGCAATCGACAAAGTAGACCATAACCTACTTCTTAGTAAGCTATAAAAAAGTGGAATAGATAGCACCACCACTAGATGGACTCGCAACTGGCTGACAAACCGTACTCAACGAGTAGTCCTTAATGGATCTAAGTCTACATGGAGGGAAGTAAGCAGTGGGGTGCCACAAGGTTCCGTCTTAGGCCCAGTACTCTTCAATATCTTCATGAACGATTTAGATGAGGGAATAGAAGGGGAACTTACCAAATTTGGTGATGATACTAAGCTGGCAGGAATAGCTAACACCCAAGAAGATAGGCTCAAGATCCAGGTGGATCTTGATAGACTAGAACACTTGGCTGTATCTAACAAAATGAAATTCAATGTAGAGAAAAGTAAAGTCCTACACTTAGGCAAGAAAAACCAAAAGTACACATATAGACTGGGTGAAACCAGGCTCAATAGCAGTAACTGTGAAAGGGATCTTGGAGTCTTAGTGGACAACCAGCTAAATATGAGCCAGCAGTATGCAGTAGCAGCCAAAAAAGCTAATAAAATCCTAAGTTGTATTAACAGAGGGATACAATCAAGATCAATGGAGTTACTAATACTACTCTATAAAGCCTTAGTAAGACCACACCTAGAGTACTGCATCCAGTTCTGTTCACCACATTATAAAAAAGACGTTGAGACTGTAGAATAAGTACAGAGAAGAGCAACCAGGATGATTAGGGGACTGGAGGCTAAAACATATGAAGAACGGTTACAGTAGCAGGGTTTGGCTAGTCTAGTGAAGAGAAAGACCAAGGGAGACACGATAGCAGTCTTCCAATATTTGAGGGGCTGCCACAGAGAGAAAGGGGTCAAGCTATTTTCTAAAGCACCCGAAGGCCAGACAAGGAATAATGGATGGAAACTGAACAAGGAGAGATTTAACCTGGAAATAAGAAGAAACTTTCTGACAGTGAGAACAATCAAACAATGGAGCAGCTTGCCCTCGGAAGTTGTGGGAGTGCCATCACTTGAGACTTTCAAGAAGAGATTGGACTCCCATCTGTCAGAAATAGTGTAGGGTCTCCCGCTTGGGCGGGGGCTTGGACTAGATGACCTACAAGGTCCCTTCCAACTCTGATTATCTGTTATCTGTTAAAAGCATTTACTTGTACAGCTGCTGAAACTTGTATGCCCCGTATCTGTCCGTTACAATTTCTCTCAATTCATCCCGGTCATCAAAAGGCAACGCTGTTATAGGGAGAGCTTGTGACAATTAGAGCAAAGCTTTTCTCTACTTGGGTATCAGCCTCCCATGAATGCAAGTGATGCACATATATCAGCAATATAAGCATACAAAAAAAAAAATGTGTTAGCAATGATTCCTGCACTCAATATATCAAAACTACGTTGACAATAATAAGATAACTTATTCGGGTTAACTAGAAAGAAAGATTTATGACTTTTGGACCCAAGAGAAAAGATGAAGAAAAAAAATTAACCAATATCTAGCTTTAACACTTTACAACGTATTTTCAGAGGTACACTTTAAATTCTATTTTTATTTTCCGATACAGATGCATCTAGCTATGTTACCATTTAGAGAATCACATATAATCTAAATGTACATTTTGATTCTTTCTAAGGCATGGTCCCATGTTATTAATACAATGTTAATATATGCTACTATTCTATACAAGGACTTATTAAAACCATACCTTTCTGTGACTGTCTTTGTTGAATAATCTTCATTTCCCAGTGTCTTCCCAACTGTTACGAATTCATCTGCCTGAACATTCTTTTTGATTGAATCTAAATACATTTTTCAAGCGAATCAAGAATTGTATTTAGTTAATAATAAATTTAACTTATCATTAGTTTTAAGGAAATATTGTTGTATTTATCAGGCCCAAGCCCAGAGATGAGACAGTGAAATCTGATCAAATCCAATTCTTTATTTGTCTAGGCTAATAGACACAATCTTGCCAAACTAAAGCTATAACTTTCCAAGATGTTAGATATATCCAGAGAGATTCTAAGTTGTCCTTTCTCCCTGCACCTCTTCCCTCCTCCAGTTCTGGACTGAAAAGTCTCATGAGCTGGGTTTCTTTCTAGGAATCTTCTGAATTGGCAATGTCCTTCCCTTCTGCTACTGCAGGCACATATTCCTATCACAAGTCCTCAACTTACAACCATAACTGAGCCCAGAATTTGTTGTAATTCATTAACAGTCATAAACTGAGATACCCATGTGACCAGAACTAATTGGCTGGCCTTTTGGGGGTGGCCATTAAGCAAATGCCATGATTGTTAAGCAAACATATTCATTTGACATATTAATTATAAACTGTGTGAAGCAGTACTATCTTATGTCTGTTTTAAATCACCTTCCAATTAGCTTCATTGGATAACTATCAGTCCTACTGTTTTAAGAAAGGAAAGTTATCTTTGTTTACTTTACTTTTACCATATGTTATTTTATACTCTATAATCATCTACTAGTCAGTTATCTTTTTTTCTAACTTAAGAATCCCCCAAATTCTAAATGTTTTGTCCTGATCAATTTGGCTAATCCCGTTTCCAAATCTATTACATCTTTTTCCAGAAATGTACTTACTATTCCCTTGTTTAATAATCCTTAGTATGACATTCACTTTTCTCACTGCTGCCCACACGTACATTATAATATAATGTATTCATTGAACTATCAGGGTGAGCAAGTAATTTATTAGAGCTCAATCCCATCAGTATATACATGAAGAGGAGGTGTTCCACTGTAAATCTTTTCACACATTTAAACTGAAGTATACGTTTGCCAGTTAACTATTTTCCTTGTTTAAATAAATCATTCTGGAGCTTTTTACGGCCTGGAGTGGAGCTTAATCCACAAACTCAGCAAATTTATTGCTTATCTCTTAGCAAGATCACTAACAATGGAAAAAGAAACAGTTCCAATCCACATCTTTAAGGGGCTTCCATTTCATTGTCCATGTGTTCCTATTTTTTGGTTTTGCTTTTATACTGTTACTAATTCACAAAATGGCAGGTATTTTTAACCCACAATTGCTAAATTTGATGGGAACCTTTGTCGGGGCTCTTTCAAAATTCCAAGTGTGGAATGTCAACAGGATCACCTCTGTGTCTCTATCGATGCTCTTTAAAAAAACATTCTAGGAAGTTGATGTAGCAGGATTGCAAAGGGTGACCACATGATCGCAGGGCACTTACTAACTGGTCATAAATGTGAACATAAATGTGCCTGAAAGATAGTCATGGGACTAAGGGGAGAATGGTGAGACATTTTATGATGCCCAGAAGTGCTTAATGAGTCATAAACCATACCATCTGTGGCTGTCATGTCCACAAATTATTGCTACAATGCCTGATTGTAAGTTGAGGACCAGCTACTCTTTAAATTAACATAGTGCTATGTCGGAAAGGCTGAATATATTTATATACTAAAGATCATAGAGATCATGGTTTGTAAAGAATCTTAGTATTTACCTGGAATTAATGCAGGATATTGACAGAAGACACTCTTTTTATAAGCTTCCTCAGTAGCCGGAGTAAAAGAAAGAGGAGACATAGCTGGTAACAAATCAAGTGCCTTTAATAAATAAATAAATAATATTGAAATGTTTGCAATTCAAATACACGTGCACAAATAAAATAGGATACAAAGCCAGCCTACTCTAAAAGGTTGTCCTTTAATTTTAGTTTACAGGTAAAAAAAATTGAGAGGATTTATTTTATAAATGTATATGATTAGGGGATAATAAATTAGGCTTCTGGATGAAAAAGTGTCATCTGGTGAGGTCCAGGAGGCATCACTTCTCTTTTGCAGTGTCTGCCCTATGCAACAATATTCCCCCCCGAGATTGACCATTCGTAAGAACCCAAAAGGCTGTTTTTCCCACGCAGCACTGGGTGAGAGCATGGGATTAGTCCATCCACAAATGAAAGTTCATGAATGTAATATGAAATGTTCAACCTCTGTTATTTTGGTTTGTATATCTGCTGTGTTTTGTCTTTAGATCCTTCACTGTTATACTTTTAACCAATTTTAAGCTGCTATATAGACCAGATGACATGAGTTCTAACATCTTTAATACCATAATTAATTAATTCATGTATACCATGTAATAACGATATTTACCTTAACAAACAATTCATACAGAGCATAGGGACACGCCTACTGGGACTTTTAAAGACTTTTTGCAGATTATACACTGCAAATATCCTCAAAATATTCCTTTTTGCTCAATACATTACCTACCAAACATATACTTACAGGGTTTGGATCCTTAATTAAACGAAAAGGTGACTGGCCAAGACGATTTTTCCACTTCAATTGCCATTCCAGTTGTTTTTCAGCAATTGATTGAGTTACTGAAATATGATCATCACATTTTAATTTTTGCCTATGGGAAAATTATTAACAAGATTATTAGAACATTTTTAGCTGAATCAAATATTTTACAAATGAAAGCATTTGCTCAAACAATTTTATAAAAGCACAACAGGTTGCACTTAGTATTAAGATAGTGACATCATTTCTGCAATGGAATTTTCCCAAAATCTGTATGTGCTCCAAATCACCTCCGGATTCTAATCCTCTTCAGCAGTTTTCTCAACTTCAGTAACCTTAAAATCTGAGTCTTTTAACTCCCATAAGTCTGGGATTCTGCCAGAACCCCACATACTGTGCCTTAAAATTCCTGAGATTGAAAAACACTGCTGTATAGCATATCTAGAGTTACAATATTTAGTTACAATAGGGAGACAAAATGTATGCATTCTGCTGACATACTGGCATATGGCTCTGAAAACATTATTTTTAAAATTATTGTAGTTACAACAAGGCCGTGTTTTTCAGGAAAAAGAAAACCACAGGATGCATTATGTATCTGATCACAATACATGATTTAAAGCAATGATGGCTAACCTTTTCGTCTCGTGTGCCAAAAATGTGTCCATGTGCGCACACGCATGCTGGCACCCATAATGCACTGCATGTGACCCCAATGCCGCTGTGCATGCGCCGCACAGCACTGCCTATGCACGTGCATCTCCCACATGCGCGGCAGCTACCCACAATCAGCTGGCTGGTGGGTGGTGTGCGCACATGCGCAATGCACTTGATCTGGGGCGACTGCTCATGTGCCAACAGAAATGGCTCTGTGTGCCATTTCCGGCAAATGTGCCATTGGTTCGTCATCATGTCTCTAAAGATTATAAATGGCAACCAGCAAAGCTCATCCTTAAATGTATCTAACAGTCCATTAAAGATCACAAGATAAGTTTCCTGACAGAAATTTGACAAGAATATTTCTCACAAACTGGCCATTGGGGAGTGTGTTTGTTTATTAGGGTTAACTGCACTTTAATAACATGAAGCTGCAAATAATTTTTGGTGTATCTTTATGTGGATGTTATGAAAAACTTGCCATAATATACAAGGGAGAGAATTCCAAGGTTTTGTTTACGTAATCAGACTAAAACGAGTAATATATCCATATGGTTTTTCCTTTCTTCCAACACAGCCTTAAGCTTACAAAGACTATTAAAGCATAATATTTTTTCTAATGTTGACACCAGGCAGCTGATGCCCAATAAACTAGGATCAATAAATTATCGATAATCTGCCTGATTCAGATTTAGGTATTAATTATGTTAAGTAATCCACTATGGACTGAATTAAAATACACAACAGTAAGCTGCATACTGCAGAAACCTACAATGGTTTATCCATCCAAATTGACAGATCTTAACTGGGTAAGAATTCTGTATTATTCCATGGTTTCTTTATGAAAAGGTTTGCTTGGAAGGCTCCTGAATCCACAGAACAGAGGCCTCTGAATTTACCTCAGTGACTTCAGCCCCAATAAAGTCTCATTCTGGAATCTGGTGTTTCCTTCAAGATCCTGCAGGTCTATTTTGAATCCTTTTTTGTCAACTTGCCAACGCTCATGCAACAATAACTCCAAGGCTTTGGTTAGTAATTGGATAATAGTTAACATGTTCAATTTTCCCTCTTCATACACATTCCCTACAGGAAACTTTTAAGTAAAAAAAAAAATGGTGAACACATATTGAATTAAGAGCACAATTGTGTATGCAGTGTCTTGCACAGGGCATAAATGCACACAATAGTTGGAGTTATTCCCACAAATGGTCCCATGATTTTTTTTTACGTGTGTTTTGTTTATCAAACCCTTCTGCTGGAAAATGAGCAAAATTCCAGAATGGCAAAGAAGTACTGGTTAGACAAATAAATGTTTTTGTGATATTTTGCCTCATGTTACTTAAGTTTGTCTACTTCTCAAAAATCATTTCTTTTGTAACGCTTCTTTGAATAATTTTAACTCTAAGGTAAAAGTAAGCAAATATGGGGATTGCTGTCATTCTTAGACAGTTAATTCTTATATTTGGACTGAAATCATATGGTTCCAGGGAGCTAGGATATCCTACTTTTTAAAATGTATCTTATGAAAAGGCTTATTAGAAGCTAAATAAAATGTGCTTTACACATTTTCCCATCAAGAGACTTCTTCTTTACCAAGTTTAACATCCTGCTTTTATACTATTTGTCTATGTTATTTGTCATAAGGAATTGGTTTCTGGATTTAAACTTTTGTCCTTAAAAATTCCTTTTTGTGTCCAAATAACATATATTTTGGTTGTACACTGGTGAAATACTCTTAAATCTTTTAATTTTACAGGAATAAAAATGAGTTTATTTTGGATTAATTGCAACTACCAACAATGTGTTTTAAATGCTATCTAGGAAGTATTCAAGTTTTTTTTAATAAAAAATTATAATCTAACAATGTCTCAAATTAATCTCCCTAATTTTTAACCAATCATAACATCAGCCAATCAATTTCAATGAATTAATCAAGTGATAGCAAGAAGCAGAATAATCTACAAATATTGACTATCTGAACAGAAGCATAGATACCCAAGAAACTTACTTTATACATTTCTTTTTCTACTTTTTGAAGCAGAGGCTGTGGAATGCTAACAGAAACACTTGTGCCATCTAATGTATACTGATCAACATGACCTTTTACTACTGAATCCACCACTTCTCTTTCCTTTTGCAAAAATGTCAGCGTTTCCATTACTGTTGCCCATAAATAGCGGACCTTTGGAGGGAAAAAAATTTGTTTTCAGCAAGCAGGGGGAAAAAAGTGCAATTAAATAAACATTAAGATGGAGATTATTGAAAACCTGTTGACGCTCACCTTTTCAATTCTTTCCGTGGTATTACTCTGACCAGAATCAACCTTTCTCCCCATTCTACCCAAACAGTGAGAAACAAAAAAAAGTTATTAAAAAGAACAATGGTTATATTACAACTGTTCTTATTTTTCTGATAATTAATAGAATAGCAACAGCAAACATAGAGTATCACATTAAAACCCTCTGTTTCCTATACTTTTTATTTATGGTGTATTTTTATCATATTTATCGTATTTATCTTACAGAAATTGCATTCCTAATATCTTATTATTAAGCCCTGGTTGGCACAGTAGTTAAGTGCAGTTATTGTAGGCAAACTCTGCCCACAGTCTGGAATTTGATCCTGAGTAGGCTCAAGGTTGACTCAACCTTCCGTCCTTCTGAGGTCGGTAAAATGAAGATCCAGATAGTTGGGGACAATATGCAAATAATGCTGACATTGTAACTCGCCCAGAAAGTGATGTAAAGCACTAGGTATATAAATATATGTCTAAGCGCTATTGCTGTTTAAGAAAACAGGGAAACAACACAAATGTAAATAAGCTGTAAGATGCATTTCTAATAAAATACTACTTGCTTTTGCAATCGTTTGTCCAGATCCACATTTCCATATCTTAAATCTCTGATTTGCTTAGTAAAAAACCTGTGAATAGGAAAAGCAAGCCACAGTTAAGTTCTGTGGATGAAACAAAACCCTTTGAAATATTATCAATTAACAAGTATTAACAATCCAATTATGAATTAATTTTTTTTCATTATCAAGTTTTTTTGCAATATCAGCAAATAAAAGAATAATCTAAAACAAGGATGTCAAATTCAAGGCCCCCGGGCCAAATCCAGTCCACAAGGTGGTCAGATCTGGCCTACGGAGTTGTCCTGGAAACAGCTATGGACTGGCCCATGGCACCTTGGCCCGGGGAACCAGGTACTGGTCTGCAATCTGACCATATGGGCTGGATCTTAGCCAGCCTTAGATCCCCAATACTGCCCAGCCCAAGTGAGCGATGTCGAACTGGGCCATGCCCACTCCACCCCGGCCCCCCAAGGACAACCACAATGCTGATGCATTGAAATCGAGTTTGACACCCCTGATCTAAAATATACTCTTTATCTACCAAACTATCCTGCTTTGTAACATTCAACATTTCCTGCCTACAACTTTATAATCTACAGGTCACGTCTGTAACTGCTTTACTTACAGTGCTTTTTTCTGAAGTTCTTGAATCATGAAATCTTCCTTCTGCAGACACTGTGAAAATCTGTTAAGTGCCACTTGATATTTTGCAACAGCCATATTCAAGTCTGGGGATCTTGAGTTCACTGCTTCTGGGTAGGGTATGCCAGCACCTTCACAAAATGATTCCAAAATCTACACTGGGAAATATGATCTCAACCACCACCAAAGGCAGCAGTATTTTAAGACATCCAAGCCTTTCAATCAAGCAAGAGGTTGAAAAGGAGGGTAGAAGAATGACTATGGTGAAAGCATAGTATCAGGACAACCACATCTATCTATGTGGTGTGATAATTTCAGAATGTATCTAGGACTACTTCAATGAATAAAGTTTATTTTCAATTTTTAAAACCCTTCGATATTTTGTGCCACTTCTGACCGTTTTCTGCGATGAATCCATGAGAATAGCCTGCTGTACAGGAAAATTCTCTGAAAGTAGCTAATCTTTAAATCTGGTGTCATAAAAGCAAATAACACAAGCAGACATTAGATACAGCTGTAGTTAGTTTCATTAATTTGAATAATTCATTAGAGAACCAAATATTCATTTTTGCTTTTGAATAATTTAATGTTACTGGTATTTGTTCTTCACTAGATTTTATCATATAACCCTAGCCATTAGTTTTTTCAAAAATATTACTGCTATTATCAGGCTCATCTTCAAAGTTCTTTCAATATTTGAAAACTATGAACTGAGGTAAGTGTGCCAATATAACTGAGACCATATATCTTTTTTTTTTTTAAACTAAAATTGTAGTGTTCAGGCTGCAATTAAATTAAATATATTATACTTAGCAAGGGTTCTGCAATAGGGTCATAATTATTGCCTGGAATATGAAGATGGCTGGGTCCTTGGACTATACCACTTGTTCCGTATGCAACCTTTCTCTGTATGCCAATTCCAGGTGTGCACCTTGGTTTATCTAGGAACTCAAAAGAAATCAAGTGCCAGAAGAGACATCTGAAGCACCCACTGAAGGAAGGACTCATAGCTAGTCTGACCAAATACAGGCAAAAGCTGACATCTGGGACCATCTTGTAATGATAAGCATAGGAAAACACCAATATTTTTTTCACCCTTATTGCATTGTACTTATCAAATTTAGAAACAACACATCTCCCTCACAGAGAGTCTGGGTGATATACAAGTGAAATTTTAAAACCAAAAACAATATCTAAAATTTAGATAAGAGGCAAATAGTTAAAATTCAACACAAAAAGTTAATTATAAGGCGGGGGGGGGGGCCTTCAGGATGCTACCTAGATCCCACCCGACCACGTGCTCCTCTGTGAGCCCCAAGCAAGGGAGCAAAGCCAGGTCCTTAGACATTTCAGAAAGGCCAGAAGAATGGGGTGTCAGCCTTCCCTCTGGGGAGAGAATTTTCCAAAGCGAAGGGAGGGTTCTTTTTCTGGACCCTGCCAGTTGAAATTCGACTGATGGGCTTTGAAACATGCCTTCCCTACTTGACCGGATGGGACGGGTTGATGTAATAGGCAAAGACAGTTCTATAAGTAAACTGGATCTATGTAATGTAGAGCTTTAAAGATCATACCCAAAGGTTTAAATTGGACTTGTTAGGTGGTGATTTATTAGTAGTTTAATTATTTTTAATTAATAATAAATTTAGATATAATTTATTGGTATTTTGTTCAATATATTATTATTGATTTTTTTGTATAAACTGATCAGGTTGTTCTCTATTTTTATTGTTTATTACACTGTGAACTACCTGGACTGACATTGGAACTGAGTCTGGCTAATCTGAATTAAATAAATGAAAAATGAAAATACTGAGAAGAAACTTTTTCATCATTGCTGATGATCCCCAATGTCTTATACTTGCAGCAGAACGCTGGACCAAAATCTTTGCTTGCAACGATCTTTCTCAGATTATTTAAATTCTTCTGAAGTAGGTGGCTTTATGTGAGGAAGGTCCTCACTAGCATGAATTTCCCATAAAAAAAGTAAATTCCAAAATTTTGTTTCCCCACAAAACATTAGAATAAATCATGATTGCTTACCTAAAGAATCTACTTTAATGTGATGCATTATAACATATCTTGCAAAGTGGAACATTAGATGAATGAATTTGGGTCCACCAGGAGAGAGAAATAATGATGCAACAACTGAAGGAAAACTGTTTCCACATTCATCCTAGGGATTTAAAAATGCACAAGTGAACTGAAATTGACAGTATCAACTTCTGTTAATTTCTTTTTAAGCAATAGAGCCAGCATACTGAAATGTGGCAAACAATTATGATTGCCTTGTCAGACATCGGAGGCCTGCATTAAGTTAAACTACATAAGCATTCATGGGCCAGAAGGGAGGTTTCACAAATACATTTCACAAATTCTTTTCCTATTATCTTAAAATTGCCTCACATGCTAAAAAGAATAGTTTTGGTTTTGCTCAAAGCCAATCAGTTTGAATTCACTGGTTGCTAATATTATCCAACAAGCTCTGAATATAACACTATATTTTATAGAACACAAATGAGTCTCAAGACCATAAAAAGATATTAATGATTGGTCCTCGATGGCAAGTAGTTTTATTGATTAACTATCTTCAGGTCTCGGGAGATAAGACCTTTAAAGAAAATCAAAAGGAAGAGGAGACCTTCCATATTACACACTCTTGTTTTATGTTATTGCAAGTCATTTCTCTCCTTCAAATGTTACTTAGCTTTCCATTTGAGTTACATTTTTCTGGTTAATACTTGTATAATACTATACTTGAAAAATTTGGGGAACAAGAAGAAATCAATATTCTCTAGCTATGGCTTTCAGAATTCTTGATGCCATTCGTCCTGAGACGAATAGGAGCTTTAGTCCAAAGTATCTAGAAGACATCAGGTTGCCTAAGAAGCTACCATAATAGCAGCAAGAAATCTCTCATCAAGCAGCATCAATAACAAATTTTGGAGATAGTCTTTCAAAGACAACTTCATACAAAAATATATATTGAAATATGTAAGGCAAATACTGTATATGGACACTTTTTTATTCTTACCAATACTTACTGATATCCTTTTTAGCCATTCATAGCATTGCTTTCTGAATTCAGAGTCTGCCTTTTTGTCTGTGGGAGGATAGCAAAATCTTTCCATTCCAAAGGAAAAGAAAAAGAACAATTTCAATAAATGTTCAAGGAACCAGACAGTTTTAAGATAGTGGAGCAATACAAAATGTTCCTAGCAAAGTATAACTACATTTGTGTTTGAGTTATTGCATATTGACTTAGTTTTTACTGTAGAAGCATCTCATCAATAAGAAAAATACCTATACATCATTGGGCTGTAGTTCTAGAATAGTTCTAATAAAGCTGGATCATTGATACAGAATTTCTCCTGAATAAAGGCTTCTAGCAAGACTTCCAGCATCAGAGTGGAGTTCCTCCTTCTGATCATAGTTCTTTGCTTTTTTGAAGCAGCAAATATACTTTTGTGCTTCAGTTCCACTTCAATACAACTTATAGAATAGGATGGCACTGTAAATATTAACCTTTTAGGGGAGGATGACAACAATATTTTGATGAGCCATGAGAGAATCATTCTAACAATCTCCACCAGTAAGGAGAGTAGTACAGCAAGACTACTCAAGTCCTAATAATCCTAAATTTAGTTTGTTATAGACATGGTAAGTAATTTTAAGGCTAAGTAATAAAGCCTATTGTATTAAATGTTGCACTCACCTAAAAACCTCATTGCAGTGTGACTGATCCAGCTTTGAAAACAAGAACCATGCAACAATGTGAAATGCATCTTTGTTTGGTTTATCAAACAAGTTCCTTTAAAAAAAAGTTTAAAAAATCATTACTCCATATGCAACTGTAAGGTAATTAACTGGACCGACTTCCTTTTCCCCTTGCAGTATTCTTGCTATACCATCATCACATGTAGAAACTCAGTATGCTGCATTCACAATTCTACACACACAGTCTTTACAAAAGATTGGTTTCTTTTGAAGAGCATGACTGCATCTTACAATGAATCATAGATTAATATAAATGGGCACCACTTAAATGCTCTGCCAAATGCCACTTGTTCCTGAATTAGTTTTCTATAAACACTCTAGAGCAATAAACTTACACAGTCTAAAAACTGTTCATATTTACCATATCCGACTAAAATTGTGGTTCAATCATGCAGTAACAGGTAGGTTATTTCATAATTACAGTAAAAAGCAGGAAGAAAAAACTGTTTAATTATGAATAGGAAAATTCTACATGATACTCCTATATCAACAAGGTTTGGCTAATTCCCAAGTAATGCATTTTTGAACAAACATTCATTCTCATATTTGTAGTATAAAATAAATTCCACATCTTGACTCTTGACAAATATATCTTTTCTTTTATGTATGTACATGGAGAGCATTTGCACCAAGACAAATTCCTTGTGTGTCCAATCACACTTGGCCAATAAAGAATTCTGTTCTATTCTATTCTATTCTATTCTATTCTATTCTATTCTATTCTATTCTATTCTATTCTATTCTATTCTACATCACCAACAACATCATGATTTGTTTTAAATGTGGAAACAATATCACCCAATATAAGTAACAGCAGGGATGATTTTGATCAAGGTTCCCCAAAGCGTTCAATATTCACCCCAAGGGTGAATAGGATTATCCAAGTGTGGTAAAATGGCTGGGGGTTAACCAGTTGTCAATAAATGATGGAAAATCAATCTTTCCAGGCCTCTGTGCCAACTCCACACCTGTCCCTAGGGATGATGAAGCTGGTGGCGAGGCAATATTACTCAGGGTTGAATGATCAGCTTCCAGAGAATATAGCCTTGAGTTTTATTTATTTAATTTATATGAGTGCCCATCTCACAAGCGACTCTAGGCAGTGCACAAGACTAAAACAATACCTATCTAAAATAATTACCAATATTTTAAAAAGCTAAAAAGAAACATTAATGTGTTAAATGATTTTAATAGTAATGGAGCCACTTCATCAATTCACCTGTCCCTAGAGGTCTCCAGGGCTGCTGGCAAAACCAGATCTTAAGGGACATTTGGAAGTCTAGAAGCGATGAAGCCATCCTCATTTTGGGAGAAGCCAAATATAGCAGAGTAACTCCTTAGACCAGCGGTCGCCACTTGTGGGCCGTGAGAAAATTTTGGTGGGCCACAGAGAAATCTCACGCCCAAAAGCAATTAATCCAGGCTGCGCAGAAACACAAGGCTTCTCAGCCCACATGGCCCGCAGGAACCCTCTCCACCCACTCACTCCTTACCCGGCAAACTTGTCTGCTAAGTTGCTATTTTTCCTTTTTCTGACCATCATCTGTTCTGCTATGCCGGGAGATTTAGATTAGCTAGGAAGCAGGAAATGGTTGGATTTCTTGCTTTCTAGCTAAGCACAGCCAAACCTCCCTTAGGACTGAAGGTTTGCTTGCAAGCAAATTTAGTGCAGACTCACAATTTGAGAGACTGAGCTAGCCGATGGCAGATAGATAACTGAATGATTCTGTGAGCAACTCAATCTGCCTGCTTTGCCTGATTTTGGATAAAAGTTGCTTTTTTAAAATAAAAAATTCAATATTTACATACATGGTGTGTTGTGAATTAATTTTGTGAGTTTGCTTGCAAGCAAATTTTATGTGACAGACTGAGTAGCCAATAGCACATAGATAGATCTCTGAATGAATCTGTGATTCTGTGAGCAACTCAATCTGCCTGCTTTGCCTGATTTTGGGTAACAGTTGGCTCTTTTTTTATAAAAAAATCAATATTTATATAAATATTTCTAATATTTACATAAAAGCCATGCCCAGCCAGTCACATGACCACCAAGCCACACCCACAAATTAGGCCACACCCACTGAACCAGTTAGTGGTCCCTGGGATCTAAAATTATGAGTTTGGTGGTCCCTGGGGTCCAAAAGGTTGGTGACCCCTGCCTTAGACAACAGGAACCATAATATATTCACACTGTTCAATTTAGTGGAAGGGAGGGATGAAATCAAGGAAAGGCAGTCCCTCAAATAACCCAGTCTCGTGCCATCTTATTTTATTCCTATTAAATATTTATTAATTTTCATATAACCAATCTTTGGAGGTTGATATTGATGAACAATCTAAGACGTCATGAAGGGATCTATCATCTAAAGAAGGGGTGTCAAACTCACGTTGTCATGGCGGCATCATATGACATATCAGGACTTTTCCCCCTTTGCTAAACTGGGTGTGGGCGTGGCCAGCACGTAACACATCCGGCCTGTGAGCCTGGAGTTTGACAGCCCTGACCTAAAGAATGGGAAGTTCTGGTTTTGATAATGGGTCTTCAAGCCGGTATAAACTCATAGCAAGCACATTTTCCCCCACAGTAGGGATAGCATCTAACACAGGGGTCAAAGGGGAATACAGGTAGTCCTTGACTTACAACAGTTCGTTGAGTGACTGTGCAAAGTTACAATAGCACTGAAAAAAGTGACTTATGACCATTTCTCACTCTTATAACTGTTGCAGCATCCCCATGGCTAAGTCATCAAAATTCATACATTTGGCAACTGACTTGTATTTGTGATAGGTGCAGTGTCCCAGGGTCGAGTGATCACCATTTGCGACCTTCTGACAAGCAAAGTCAGTGGGGAACCAGATTCAGCTTAAGTGCAGTGATCCACTTAACCTCTGTGGCAAGGTCATAAAACAGGACAAAACTCATTTAACTGTCTCACTTAGCAACAACAATATTGGGCTCAATTGCAGTCATAAGTCGAGGACTACCTGGAATACGTTAATGGAGCAGCTTGCTTCTCACACCTGGCCCAATCCTAACACACAAAACTTGCCAGTTTCATAGGACTAGAGAAACTTTAATAATAGCAAAACTTAGGATAGTAATATTACTATATTATTAATAGCGAAATATGGAGGTTAAACTGTGGGGTTTTAATGTTGTAAGCTGCCTGGAGTCAGCTGCGAGGAGTTAGCCAGCTCTATGAATTTATATGCATATGTATTGTAATGCATTAACTAATACATACTGTAACTAATATAATACATAGTTATATAATACATAACTAATATGTATTAGTTACAAATACTGCAGCCTGTGCCCTTCGGTTATTTTATTAATTATTAATACCGGTATAACTAATATATATTATAACTAATATGTTTTAGTTATACGTATAAGTAATAAAATTGTCGAAGGGTACAGGCTGCAATATTTTACCAGTCCCTGGGTAAAGTCTTCCCACTTCTCTGGCTGCTAAACCAGCGGGAGGTTAAAAACAGACAATACAGTTGCTGTAAAGGAAACGAACGAGCGTCCCCGTCGCCTCTCCACTTACACGCCCAGCCGGAGGTGAGTCGACAGTTTCCCGGCAGCGGCGTTTACCGCCGGATCGAAGCCCAGAGCCAAGAGGTAGAGCCAGAAGTGCTCCTTCTCCCAGGCAGGAGGCGAGAACGGGTTGCTCATCTCTCCGGTGCTGCCAGACCTCCCGATATCCACAGAGGGACGACTCGACGAGCCACGGAAGGATTTCCGCGCGTTCGTCTCACGCTCAGCCATGCAAATGAAGCTCTCTCCTCCCCCTCCCCCTTCACTCCACTTCTTTCGAGTAACGGCCGCCTTCACATTCTCTCCGGAGTAAGTTCCGTTAACGGCACAGCCCTCAAGGCCGCCATTTTGTTTGACCCGCCAAATTGTAAATCGAAAGGGGGCGGGTTCTTATGAATTGACGGGGAAAATATCACCGAATCAAAGCCCTCGGGACCCATGACCCTTTCCATGTGATTAGGCGGCTTCTCGACCAATCCGAACGAAGGAAGAATTTCCCAAGATGCACCGCGGCGAAGTCCCGCACGAAGGCGGAAAGAGTCCTAAAGCTGTAAAAAGGGTGGAGTCGAGCTAAGGAGGTGGAACTGCGATTGTAATTGAAATGATAGTTATCTTTTATATATATATATATTTTTATATATATGAAAGAAAATTAACTGGGTTTCTCTTTTCTAGACTAGCTCTCCCAATCCATAGCTCGAGCAATATTTTTTTCTATTGTTTTCTTATAGAAAAAAGGCTGGCAGCATCTTTTCCTGCCAACGAAAGTTATTAAAAAGTTTGTGTGTGTGGTTTTTCTTTTTAATATGATAATTCTATCTTCAATTGAACAGTCGTCCGGGTACAAATATCTTTGTAAATTAATAATCAAAATTTACAGCATTATTCATTAAAATAGTATTAATTCTACAATATTAAAATAATATTCAACATACTAATCACAATATTTATCTCTCTTAACATTTCTTATTTTACTCATCTTTTGTTTCCCTGTTTCTAAGTTCTATTTTTGTTATTTAACCATTGATAAAACAAATCCTATGTCATATAATATTCAGTTGCTGTTTCTCCTTAATTGCAAGCGTTAATCTATTCATTTCTGCACATACTAATATTTTTCTGATCATTCTTCTCATCTGTAGGTATCTCTTCACTTTTCCAGTTTTGTGCAAATACTAGCTGCAGTTAATATATGAATAATTAAATACTATAATATAATAATTAAATACTTAAATAATTAAATACTATATTTTTCAGGTAAAATCCCCAATAGAAATATTTCTGGCTTTAAATCAATATGCTGCTTTATCATTTTTTCCAGCCATGTATGTATTTTTGTCAAGTATTTTTTTGCTTTTAAGCAAGTCCACCACATATGATAGTATGACCCAGGTATTGATGGCACTTCCAGCATTTTGCTGACTTATCTTTAAACATCTTTGCCAACCTTGCTGGTGTGAAATGCCATCTATAAAGCAATCTTGCACAAATTGCTCTTTTAATAACATATGCTAGATGTTATCAGATGCATAATTTATTTATTTTTTGTTTGCTACTTTAGACTAACAGATTTCTTCTTATAATTTTCTTGTACTGAGTTTCGCTATTGTTGGCTCATTGCACCTCATCAATTTATTAGTCACTAAGGGCAATATAGTTGGAATTAGCATAGGGAGTACTTATTTGAAATTAACTAATACACCAGTACTTGGTTACACAAGGGATTCCCAAATTGTTGGTTGCAATAAGTAACCTTGGATGTTACAGCATCTCACCAAACTGAGATTATCTCAAAACTATGTTACATGTGCAAATCCTGCCATTGTGTATTATAGTCCCCATGTGTGACAAAGGTAGGTAAATCATAGTACAGGTAGTCCTTGATTTACAACAGTTCATTTAGTGACTTTTCAAAGTTAACGGCAGTGAAAAGCGTTTTTCACACTTGCTTTGCAGCATCCCTATGATCATGTGATCAAAATGCAGATGTTTGGCAACTGACTCATTTATGACCATTGCAATGTCCTGGAGTCATGTGATCCCCTTTTGTGATCTTCTGACATGCAAAGTCAATGGGGAAGCCAGATTCACTTAACAACCTGGTTACTAACTTATCCACTGCAGTGATTCACTTAACAACTGTGGCAAGAAAAGTCGTAAAATGGGGCAAAACTCAAATGTCTCAACAGAAATGTTGGACTCAATTATGGTCATAACTTGAGGACTACCTGTATTCAGTAGATAAAGTTGCAATGCACTTCTTTTCAGATCCACACCATCCCAAATCCACAAAGACCTATGAATCACACAATCCATCTTATAATGGGACCTCACCCAGCAAATGGTTTCTAAACAAGCAGTGCATTTTTTGCTCTGCTAGCCAGACAAATGGTTGGTTCTGGTTGCTAGGAGCTGGGACTGCTAGGACCCTAGATTGTTCACTCCTGGATTAGAAAAGGAATAATGCAGAATCAACCTGAAACTCCTTGGACTGGTCTGTAAGGGGTGAAATTCAGATGGTTTCAATTTCTTTGATAAGCTCAACCAAAGGAGGGGCTCACATCCTATCTAGTCCTTGTTTTTGAAGAACACCTCTGCATTTAACCCCACTTTTTTTTGCAAAGCTTTTTTTTCCTTCTCTTTCTGCATGTTAATTGCTGGCTGCGTGCTGGAATTTTGATACTTTCCCTCCTGGTGGACTCTTAATTGATTTAATAGTACCAGAGGTGTGAGTTAAAATAGCAAGAGGCAAACGGCAACAAGTCTTCTTCGATTACTGAGATAATTTAATGACCTAATCATATTGAACTTTTACCAAAGTCTGTACATATTATCAATTTGAAAATATTTAATATCTTCATTGTATTTTTATTGCGTTCTGTGTGCAACTCTCCTTTTTCTTTCTGCACTTCAGGGGTTTGCAAATTGACGTTATTCTTCTTGCCAACTGCTTTCCTCTTGGAATTTTCCCTCTGACCTTGAAAAAAGAACTGTGTATTCTTTTTTGCTTCTCTGCTGCCAGAACTAGCTGTAAGAGAGGAATTCTGCAGATTTATAAAATGCGTCCTAAGAGAGAAGTAGAGATATCTAGCTGTAAGTCAGACGAACCCAGTGCCAAGCTTCTTATGGAAGTATTTGAGAAAAAGTTCTCTTAAGTTACATGATATGCTACAGAGACGAATAAACAATCTGATAAAAAGGTTAAATTATTAGTAACAGAGTTAAAACAAATCAAAGAAGATGACAGCATTGTGGATAATTAGTAAGTGGAGGTTTTGTTTGTGACTGGTTTAATTATTATAGATTTTTTTAATGATTTAAACTTGATAAAAATGTTTTCACAGGAGTTAAAACTGAATTAGATACCGATTTATGTTCTAGAGATGACCACTTGATTGCTAAAGTTTATAATGTTATTCAAGATGAACCTGAAAGACGAATATGTAAAAGACTGCACGGTAAAATGGGCAAAACAATTTGGGTATAATATAACATTAGATAAATGGGAGAACCTGCAGACTAATGGATTAAAATTTACTTTGAAGTATAGTTTGAAAGAATTTTTTTATAAAATGATGTATCATTGGGGTTTGACTGTAGATAGATTGGCAAAAATGTATACAGGGACTTTTAACAAGTGCTGGAAATGTAATCAAAATCCAGGTACATTTTGTCATATGTGGTGGTCTTGTAAGTATGTGAAAACATTCTGGATAAACAATGATAATGCAGAAAATACTTAAGACACAAATATTAATAAAACGGAATGCTTTTCTTTTAGATATTATGAATAAATCAACTGAAAAACCATTTGGGACACTATTTCTTTACATGGTCACCCCTGCGAGGTTTGTACTTGCTAAGCACTGGGAAGGAAAGGAGATGCCGACAGTTGAAGAATGACTTTTAAAATAAATAAGTTATAAACCTCTTACGTAAAGTGACAAAAGTCAAAGAAGTAGATCTCTTATTACCTTTGAATCGAATTAGGAAGATATTGAATAGGATAGAAGATACCTTAAAGGGATTGCAGAAACTGACCAAGAGAGCAAGTTTGGTATGGTGTTAAGCTACCAGGCTAGAAACTGGAAGCCAGTTTAGTGACTTTGTACCAGCCATTCTTAGAAGAAAATGTCAAACCACTTCTAAAAATCCTGCCAAGAAAACTGCAAAGAGTAATCCAGGCAATTACCACAAATAAAGATTTACTCAAAGGAACATATGCACAAACACATGCACAGAAACACACAGTGTTTGACACTGCCTGCAAATTATAGACTCTATGGACTGGGCTAAAGATTGAGAAGGCTAAAAATCTAATAATTTATTTTGCAGGAGGAATTATTGGTTACACTAATTGTTTGCCTTCTTTCCTGAACATAATGCATGTCTGCAAATGAAGCATATCAAGAGCTGATATAGCTATCAAGCAAACATTTTGGAAACAATGAGCCAAAGCCTACTAGAATGCATGAAGATAACAAGAGCAATATTCTACTTTCCCTGAGATTAGATGACACACAAAATATATAGATGCTTAAAGCCATTGGTAAAAGATCAAGATAACTTTACTAATCCTTTAACATAAAGGGATTAGTAAAACAACTCTGTGACCCTTGGGGTCATCTTTTGAGAGGTAGAACAGTCTGATGTTATCAGAATAAATATATTTTAGACTTGCCCTATTTTTTTAACTCCAATGTTGGACAATCCCATGATTATTTCAGAAGAGTATACATAATAAACAGAAAAATAATTACAGTAGCAAATGAACTTCAATAATAAATCAATATTTACTTGCCTAAACAGATACACTGAATGACCACATGTAGACAAAAAAGCAGTAGGAACAAGACTGATTTCAGACTTCCTGCTGGCTTCCTCATTGACTTTTCATGTGAAAAACTGGCAGGGAGTGTCAAAAATCACAATCTTGTGATAATGGAGACAATGCAACATTGTGAATAAAACTAGTCTGAAATCATGAAATGTCAATTTTATTGGAGTAATTCCTGGATTTTTACCAGGACTTTTACCTTGATTTAAAAATTATTGTGGTCTAATGTATCATTTGAGCTAACTCAAGGGTACAAATAAAAATAATGAGTTTTAATAGTTTAATAAATATTGTTGTTTGGCAGAAGAAATAACAGATGCCCTCACCAAGCCACTATCTTAAAGTTCAAGGACCTATGTGAAATGAATAATTGTGATTTGGTGCATAAGCCAATCGGAGGTGGTGTTGGAAGCCTTCTATAGTAGGCATTCACTCATTGTATTTACTCAACCTATTGATCAGTCGGAGCAACACATCTGGTAAGGATTTTGCCCTGGTAT